TTCATTTTTGTAAAACCTTCGAAACAACTCGAAAACATGTTTTAGAGCATCCACAACTCGGCCTAGCAAAATCCGTCCACCCCAAACGTCCGTGGATACATCTAGATATTCAATTCCACTACTGGATACCTCATTTCAAACCATCAAATCCATATAATTACATGCAACGTAAAACCTTGTCTAAATCTTCCCCAGCTAACGTCCTTCTTGTTCCCTCTGTGCCTCAGTCTGACGGGCGTGAGACCCGCGAAGTGAAGGTCCGATCACTGGCGAGGTATAGTGGGACATGGGACACAAACAGGTCCGCATGGGACACAAGGCGCAGTCGTCTCTCATGCCTTACCCTTCCTCGTCAGAGCCCGTGGCCTCAACATTGCCGGTCGACGTGAGATCGATGATGGACGTGGTTGGGCGTTGCGGCTCGGCATTGTGTGACTCCGCCTCTGCTGCCTCGGTAGCAAGGGTTGTCGCGGCCTCCATGCCCTACTCCTTGCACGACAGGCATGCATGCCTCGCGTCTGCAGCGTACAAGCTGTAAGCCATGCCGGCGTTTACCTCCAACTCAGAGCGTGACCCCGCAAGGACGGCACGCCACCGAAGGGGTTGCACCCACCCGGGGGTTTGGGCGCCAGCGGTTGCGCACCGCATCCGATGAGGCGGTTGTTAGGCACCTCCTGCCATCGTCCCCGGCGGATCCATGCGCCATTTGCGTGGACGCAATGGATTCTCGTCGGAACAACTCCGCCCGCGGTTTGGCAAATTTCTGCTGGGAGCGGCAGAGAGCCAGACGTACGGCCATCTCCTCCTCGGGGCCGCAAGGGACAAGGTTCTAGTCGACAGATCTAGACCTCTCGATGCCACCCAAACGGCCGCCCCAAACGGCCAAACGTCTGGGCTAACCGCAACTCCAATATTCACCCCATATATGGGGCATATATGGGGATGCCCGGACGTGCACGGGCGCGTCCACCACGTCGTATCCAGCCAGTATGGCTGTCCAGACCCCACATATAATTATCTCTGTCCGCACTCCGAACCAAACCCCAGCCACTCCACTCCACTCCCCTCCACCCCCTAGCTTCTCTTCGGCGAATTCTGGCCTTCTCCGTCATGGTGGGCAACAGATCCGATATGCGTCCGGACAGTGACTGGGCAGGTCGCCCGGGCGTATGGGGCGTCCGGTTATAGATGCTCTTATATGGTTTTAGACATTCAAGGGTGAAAATTATACCAAATTGAGTTTAAGGGGTTATGAGTCCATTTGTGGTGGATTTGGGAGGGTAATCTTTATAGTTATTTCAATCCTACTCCTTCGTCACTGCACAAGTGCACTTCAATGGGCTGGCACATTTGAGTAGTTTTTTTAAACACTACAGTTGGTATTTTAGCGGGGCTTTTATTTCTACTAGGTATGTGCCCGTGCGTTGCCACAGGAGCCAAATCTTATAATGCACAATAAGAGCATAATATACAGGGACAAATCCTTTGTTTCTTGAAAATGGTTTTTATAATGAAAATAGACGAGGAGGCTCGTTGTTTCCGGAAAAAGACTGCCAAATTCTTCAATTGGTAGAAATGTGGAATGCTACATCAATAGAACTAAATTGTATTAGAGGGGGAAATAAATAACGACCTAGTAACATTCTCATTCTAATGAGATGCATACTGATTATGCAAAATTATATTCTAGAAAATAGAACACTCCAACGTCAACTGATAGGAACTACTAAAATTCGTGTCGCATTGTACATCCACTATACCGATGTGACTTACAATACCTTTGTGTTTAGCTACTGATCTGATGTACAATCCTCGATTCAAATGGATCATAAAGATTAACTTCCCTCTTCAATTAAACAGGGCCCAATTCCACCCTCTCTGCCGATTGTGCGGATGGTAAGTTTCGTCATGCCATAGCGTTTGATGTGGTAATTGTCCTTTCCGGCGAACGTGGACGATAATGCTTTGACAGTACACAAGATGCAAGAGGATCTGCATGTATAACTGATTAGAATTTTTGGAGAGAGAAAACATATTAGAATTAGCAAACTTGGTGCAACTAAATAGCAATTCACATGCCAATGCCCATTGGGCAATCACTACCACGTAGCAGTACTGCCCAGAAGAGTGCCATCGGTTGGTACATTTGCTGCTTAGCGAAGCTAGAACCTGTCATCCTTCATGTTTTTTATCTTTTTTTTTAGGGCAAGCAATAAGCTTTATTACGAAACGAGTTGGGCAATATCACCCAATACAGACTCAGCAACATTTGCTGGAAGAACATGATCAGCAACGAGGATATCCCCCTCTTGACGGGCAAGTCCTAATCTGGCCATATGATGTGCTGGCATATTAGCCTCGCGCTTACAATGTTTTTTATCTTGGCGCAGAGGATGTTGGAGATGTGGCTGAACAGATGGACCGCACGGATGCTGCGGAGAACGAGCAACGACCTCATGCAGACCATGGCTAGCCAGCGGCATGTTGTCAATGACCCAGTCTGGAAGAAAAGATTGAGAGGATGCATTTTAGTCATGGCATGCATACACGGGGAGAGAAGAATCCGATCAAATGAAGGAAACAACATTTACAAGCAGAGATTCGCCATGTCGTCCAGGCGTGCGGTCGAGGCGTGTGGCGGTGACAACGACTACATCGGTGGTGGCACCCAGGCCGTGTCGTTCCGTTTCCGCAACATCGGAGGTTGCGGATCAATGGCGACAATTTGCGATGTGATTTTCGAGCAGGTGATTTCTGACGTGATTTTTAAGGCAAGGTGTGACGCCCATTGACGAATGTAATTATGGTGATTGTGATTCTTTAAGGGAAGGCGTGACACATGTAACTATGGTGATTACGATTTTTAAGGGAAGGTGTGACGCCTGTGCCCTATTGGTCATGTAATTATGATGGTTGAATCGAATCGTCATTTGTCAATCGAAAAAAAAGTTGGGTGGATGGACCATGGTGGGCAGAACGCGGTCCGTTTGACAGAAAAAGGAACCTTAGGTTCTTTTTAGATATTTATTTCTATTTTCATATTTTTCCTTTTTTCTCTTTTGGTTCCCTTTTCATTTTAACTTTTCCTTGTGTTTTTAATTATTTTTTATTTAGTTTCAATTTATTTTTTCAAACGCATAAATATAATTTCCTCAAACTATATGCAACCTTTTTTAACATACAAACTTTTTTAGAAAATACACGAACATTTTCCAAACACATGAATTATTTTTTAACATAGCAACATTGTTTTTAAACATATTATACAAAACTTTTATTTGTAAACATGAGCATGTAAAAAATAAGAACATTTGTTACTGATCTTATCATTTCAAAATAAAAATATGAGGCTATTGTACCGAGCCAAGTAGGTGGGCGTAATATGAAGAACCGATATAGTTTAACTGGGCTAGCAGCCCAAGGCGGCCTGTTGTGTGTTCTTTGTTTTCCCTTTTTTATTTCTAAATTCATGAATTTTTTAAAAAAATGTGAACTTTTTAAGATTTTTATTTTTTCTCTAATTTATGATATTGTATCCCAAATTGACACACACTTTTTTTAATTCGTGATTTTTTTTCATATCTATGATTTTTTCAAATCCATGAACTTTTTTATAGTTGGAGTAAATATTTCAATTTTTTGATTTGTTTCGAATTCATAGCCAGTTCGAAATTCGTGATATATTTTCAAATTCATTTAAATTTTGGAACCATTTTAAAAATTCATGAAACTTTTATTAAATCCATAAAAAATCAAATCCATGTTTTTTAAAAATATATCCTAAAAACCAGTTAACTGTATTTTTCAGAACCATTGGCTATTGTTTTTTAACAATGAACCAGCAAGCAAGTTTTTTTTTAGACTCACAAAGCTTTATTAAGATGTCATTGCAATGTTTACTGTGACGAAACCAAGATCTCCGGGTTGGCCTAACCTAACATGGCGACGCCCAACTTACATGCTTTGCGAGATTATGCGCCTCCACATTCGACGGCCTAAATTCATGCTTAAAAATAGAAGGAACAAAAGAAGATGACCACTCTATTATTTTATGTATCACCACTCCAAAGCCTGCCGCGCTACCAGTCCGACTCATCAACTGATTTATTTTGTCTTTCTAATTCTAGCTT